TTGTCCCCCTGCCTGCCTTCCCAGGGGCTTTAAATTGCCCGGACAGCGGAGAAGTCCTCCGCTGTCCCGGGTGATTTTAAATGCCGCCCGCCAGCATTTTAAGATCGCCCGGACAGCGAAGAAGTCCTCCGCTGTCCCGGGGTTTTAAAATGCTGGGGGTGGGAAGAAAGCCCTTGCCCCCCAGCCTTCAGAAGAGGTCCGGGGACAGACTGTCCCCGGACCTGGTCTGAAGGCGGTTTCCTAGGAACGCATTAATTGATTTTCAATGCATTCCTATGGGAAACCGTGCATCGCAAGACGAAAAACTCGCAAGACGAAGAGACTTGCGGAACGAATTAATTTCGTCTTGCGAGGCACCACTGTAATCACGATTTGGCTCTCATCCAGTTGTCACAAGTAAGGCCATGTTATTTTATTTTACAAGATGGCTGTTTTGTGAAATGATGAACTTCCTCCATAAGAAAATATTAATACTAATGGAGTTACATTTCTGGTGCTAGGAAAAGTGTATCCTTTAGAACAAAACTTGGTAAGAGAAATGTCTGTCCCAACCTAGCTTCTTATCTTGCCATGGTACTCTAGTAATCTGCCAGCTTCTGGTACCAGTTCCTTATCCTCAGGTGATATGTATTTGGAGCCTGATTCATATTTGTAAGTGATTTATACCAGATTGTTCCCCAGTATGGAGAGAAATAAACTGTTTTTAATGTTGTAACCTTCCGTGATACTTTAAGGTGACTGATAGGTAAGAAATTAATATTATTATCATCAATAAATACATAATTTGACATGTTAAGAAAAGAATCATATCTCAGGGTTGATATATTTTTCATCTTTGTTGTCAGTAACTCTCCTTATTGGAAATTTTGGTAAATGAATAAAGTTTTTTTTTTAATTTTGTTTTTAAATGTCACATACATTGAAATAAATATTTTTTAAAAACATTTGTGGGCACTCAAAGTATATTCAGCACTTCAGAAATTTTTGCTACATTAATTTTACTCAACCTCTCTTATATATCCTTTTAAAAAACAGAAATATTGCAGTCAGGAGATTTCTTGTCACCCGGCTTTTTTGGTTCTTGTATTTTGCAATTAAAAACAAAAAGCCCGAGCACCAGTTCTGCTGCACTGTAGGGCACTGTGCAGATAGGCATGGAGGAGGAATTTGTCTGGTTTTCTCTTTTACAGTTGCTCAACCTGATTTAGTGCTCCTAATTTGCTTGTGGATGAGAACTCCCAGTCTGACTATACACTTCTTCAGATGCAGTTGAGATGCAGTTTCGTTGCACAGAAATATGCATGAAAGCAATATCTTATGTGACACATACAAAATGTTTATTTTACAAATGAATGCATTGAAAATTGTGCAGTTTATGTTAAAAACGTGTACAAAATACACACCATTTAAATGTAGACTTCTTGTGTATTGTTTCAAAAAATAAGCATAAAACGAATTAATGAGTGGATGATGTTTGCACCTTGCTGTCCATTAGTTGCTGTATTTGTTAATTGTATGTCTACCCTGAGGTATTGTCTGCTGCTTTAATTCATACTGTAATTTTAATGTATTCTTTATTGTACACCACCTTGTGATTTCAAATGAAATAAATAAATAAGAAAATGGGACAGAATGAACCTACAACTGAGCACCAGCAAGACTGAAGTGGGATGGATTTGGGTGGATCAGTCAGTCCCTTTGTGCAGATATGGCTCCTTCACATACAAAACCCCCATCCACAGTAGGGGTTCAGAAAACGTCCTGTCCTGTTTCAGTGTTCCTCCAGTGATACTGCTGTGAATGGGATGAGCAATTCCAGCAGCTGTTGGAACAGCTTAATTCAGCCACAGTAGAGTCACTGGAAGGAGCACAGCAGTAGGGCTTGGCAGTTTGTGGACTCCAGCTATGGCTAGGAATTTATGGGCCTGGATACTTGCATAGTGCATGTTTGCAGAGTTTAAGTGGGTCAGATTTGTTTCATCTGGAGTAATTTCATGTCAAATTTTGGAATAGTATGGAATTTTCTACAAAAACAAAAATCCCCGGAAACTTCTAATACAGCCATTCATGTGACTTATTATAACAAATGCTGCTGTACGTGTTTTCTTCTATTTTTCCACAATTTTATTATATTTTCTCACTATTTTTACGTAGGACTGGGATCAGCATATTAAAGGAAATCTTCACATTCAAAAATGCATTGCTTTCTCAGAGAAGTGAGTGTTAAGTAAAGAAACAATTTTGTGCCTGCTTTGTGACTTATATTACTGTTTTATTTAGTTTCTTGTACAAGCTTCTTGAATTAAAGTTGTGATCTAATCATAAAACATGTTAACCATAAATACTGTGTGGATGTAAATTCTAGTAATGAACACAGGAACCTTTTGCAAATGAATGTATGTGTTTCGAATCTTCTACAGACAATGCATGCATGACAAATGACATCAAGATGTAGACTAGAGTACCGAGGTCCAATTATTTGTCTTGCAAAACAACTATATTGCAAGACGGATGTATTTGCACACATACTGCTGTTCTTACTGGAAGCAGAAGGAATGCATGCTATCTCTAGATACAATTTCCATCTGAAACCCATAGCTTCACACTGGCTTATGCTATTTTTGACAATCCTAACCATTATTTTGCCACTCCCACTTCATTTGCATGCTTGATCCTTATGGGTTGACATTCTTGAGGAGGCTGCAGCGAAACCAATAGTGCAAATGCCCTACAAAGCAGTCCTAATACGTCAGTGATGTAATGTCCCTGGAATAACAGAATAATTTCTGGTAGTGAGCAGGGGAGTTTCTGTGATAACTCTGAGTATTTAGGCCAAGATCTTTTCCAGTTTTCCTACTGTGTTGCTGAATGTCAACCTTTGTTTCTTTTTAGTTCCAACATACGGTGTGTGCTAAGCTCAGCAGAAGGAATGCTGCACTCTTCTCCAAATAACACATCTGCATTTAATCTTTCTGGTTCCGAAGGTAAATTACAATATCAAAAATATATAATTAACAGTGCACTCCTATATATGTCTACTCAGAAGTAAGACCTTTTGAGTTGAACAAGACTTACTCCTGGTAAGTGAGCATAGGATTGCATCCTTAACCTTTTTTTAGTTGGCATACAGTTGCAGCAAGCAGGGTTACGTTTAATTGTATGTTTATTCGCACATGACATAATATTAGCTATACGTTAATGTATTTGTGTGCCAAGTTTTTTTTTTAAAAAAGCTTTATGCGATAATGTAGCATTATGCAATAATATATAAAGAAAGAACAAATATACTGTATATTTGGATATATTTATAACTGTTCTGATTGAGCCCATCCAGACATTTTTGATAGCAAATGAACTAGATCATCTGTCCAGGCGGCCACCTATCATCCAAATCATGCATATAGCCAAAGGAGAATGCCCCATAGCTCTGTCACTGTTACCATATTCTAATAAATCTTTTAAATGAATCTAAGCCTTTATAATGAATAGTAAGTCTGGTTTTATTCCTCTGACTGCTGGCTGATGATGTGTTTATTTTTGTATTCTTTACTGCTTTACTTCAATTGAATTAGTTGATTTATCTGCTTTTTATTGCCATTTTATATTACTTCAGTTTTTATATATTTAAATTTATTTAGATTTCTTATATGTAGATTTATTTTTAATACTTTTTCATCACTCTAAAAACTTTAAAGTTGAAAAATTGTTTAAAAAATAAATAAAAATCTGAAGACAGGCATGGGGAAAGTCTGAATCAGACCGCTATGCCCCCTTGGCTGTTTGCCTTTTCCAACAAAGATCCTAAAAACAACAAAGAGCACATCTCAAGGTCAGACAATGGTGCTACAGTGAATAAATCAGAATGGTGGGAGATTCAGGACAGACCAAAGGAAGTACGTACATCCTCATTCACATAATGCATAGTTAAACTATGGAGCACGCTAAACACATTCTTAGCCAATGGAATTTGATACTAAATGTTCTGGTGATGGCAACCAAGCTAGATGGTTTTAAAAGAGGCTTAAACAAAATTCATCACAGAGGATGGGGCTATCAGGAGCCATTAGTCATAATGGCTACATAGTATATCTTGGATTAGAAGTACTATGCCTTCTGAATACCAGTTCTGAATAACAAGAGAATGCTGCGCTCATTTCATATTTGTGGGCTTCCCATAGGCATTTTGTCCATTGTGAGAACAGAATTCTTGACTAGATAGTTGCTTGGTCAGTTCCAGCAGGGTTCTCCTTATGTTCATCTTGCCCAGCAGAAACAGGACCATGATGGATATTTCATTTTGACTTGATGCTTCACTGGGCTCAGGAAATCACCCCAGCCCACCCTCTATTTGTAGAATTTCTCCAGAGAATCATGGGCAGTGGTAGCCTATCATTAGAGAAAGACTGCTATGTAGGATGGGCTTATACCTCCATGAACCTGGAAGGCTGTGACAGATAGGATTTGCTTTCCCAATGTTAGAAAGATACTAGTTATTTAAGAAAGTAGCACTTCTTCGTTTTTTGTACCTCATACACATTTCTGGGTTGTCGCTGAATACGTTCTATTTGTTTAGATTACACTTTAAACGTGGGGACATCATACAACTCTACACCTTCATTTGGCCAGCCAGGTTCTACGTTTTCTTCTATACCATCCGGAGTAAATGTGAGTATCTCACACAATATACTAAGTATAGTTCAGCATTCAGCTCTTAGTGAACACCAGGGTTTTCTTTAACAGCATTAAAACAATATAATTGAATATACTTGAATGATATAACAGTATTTCTAATTAATTTTGAATTAATTGCTGGCCTGCGTGTAGCCCAGGGCTGGGCCCATACTCCTTCCACAGTCATGTATATGCTTCCTCTCTCTTTAAGGGATATGTAGAAAATAAAATTAAAAGACTTTAAAAGCACCCTGTAGAGCTGTGCAGTGTTAGGTTTTCAGCATTGCAATGTATTACCAGCCAAAGATCGTGATCTGGTGCTACATTGTGATGTCAGAAGGGAGGGGCAAGCTGCTTCATCCCCAGCCCTGCAAGGCGCAGGGGTGAAACCACCTCAGCTTGGAGCTAAGGCGGTTTCACCCCAGTGCTTTGTGGGCCCAGGGATGAGGCAGCTTGCTCCTACTGCCTGGCACTTCTCCACTGAGAGGAAGGCAGCTGTGTGCGCCTTAATGTAGAAGTATAATGGAGCCCCCGCCCCACCTCCAGCTTGTGCAAGCCAGAGGCTAGGTGGGGGCTCCTTTAAACTTCTCCACTGAGGTGCACACAGCTGCCCACCCCTCCGTGTAAGGGAGCCCCCACCTTGTCGCTCATGTAAGCCAGAGGCAGGGTGGGGGCTCCATTGTTTTATGGTTTCAACTTCATTTTAATGTTTCATTTTTTATTGTTAGCCACCCTGAGAAAGGAAAGTCAGTGTATAAGAAATAATAACAATAACAACAACAACAACAACAACAACAAATAAATAAATAAATAATTCATATTAACTATTTACAGTAGTATAATTATGGCTAGGATAGACTTAAATCCCATTCTGTCCTAACTGTTGATCAAGGTGTTTATTGTTACTAGATCTGATCTTAATGTATTTTGAGCAGTGTATGGAAAACTGATATGCCTGAGATATGAAATGAATGCATAGGATTACAGGAGAAAGACAACATATCGATTTGCCTTTAAGGCTTGTATTCCTATACAGTGCAAGTTAAGAAAGAGGATTTTTTAAAGTATGTGTCTAGTTGGATGCTGTTTTAGATATCTGTCTATACATTTATTTTTAATAATTTCAGCTGCCACAAAGGAAAAGTATACCAGGTCGAGTAGTACACATCTGTAATCTTCCTGAAGGAAGCTGTACAGAGAATGATGTTATTAATCTTGGACTTCCCTTTGGAAAAGTCACTAATTATATCCTTATGAAATCCACCAATCAAGTATGTCCTTCTTTTTATTGTTTGCTATAATAAAAGCATAAATATGTACCGTAAATGTATTGTTTGAGTTTTTAACATAAGTTGCATTTTCTTAAAGTGCAGTAGTTACCATTATTTCAAAAGTGACTGTGTGTAGTTAGCTCTTTAGTTCTTCCAGAATAATTGCTTGTTTTATTTATAAGGTGAATTGTGTATACTCTAGTTCAGATGCCCAGTTTAGATCATTGTATTTTCAGATGCCTGCATATTTTACAGGAACTTTGTCAAGCAAACACAGGACTGCATTGTAAGAGATTAGTGGCTTTAGTGACCTTTTCTCAGTGGAGGAGAACATCCTTGTATAGGTTAGGTTTTCCTGTCCACTCTTAAGAGCCAATCTTAAGGATGGATAAATCTATCGATTTTGTGTCTCTCAATTTCTCATTTTTCCTACCTCAAGTTTGCATCTCCACATTTTCACTCTAGTTTGCAAATTTATTCAGTAACTTTTCATCAGAACTGTAATGCACATTTCTCCTGATAATACACATTTTGGATGCAATTTTGGCCTTTATATAGATATACATACATTTTTAGAAGCAGTTTTTCTTTATATAATTCATTTTTGTATGCTGTTTTCACTAGGCATGCTTTCTCCTAATATAAACATTTTTGTACACATTCTTTGGTTGGAAAAATGCATTGTAAAATCCAGAAGTGTGAAATTTGAAGGAAGGCTGTTTCAGTGTGCATGTTGTTTTAAGGAATGTGATTTAGGTAGGTTCATATTGAAATACAAAGTGAACCAAATTTCTCTCCCAACCCCTATCATGGTTAAGGAAGAGAAACTTTAAACCCAATCTCCAGTTCAGATGACATGCTAAGCCACACCTTGATTTAGCTGCTGCACTGTGCTCAAAGGACCAAGGCAGAGCAAAGCAGGTACAGGCTGCTCTCCAGAATGCACCAGTTTGCACAGCTTCAGTAAACCACTTTTTGGATTACCATGATGTGTAAATGAGGCCAATGTTCCTTTCCTTCTCCATATAGTTAAACTGTAGTAATCAATTACCATTTTTTAAAAACCCACATTTATGAGTTTCCGTTCTACTAATTTTTTTGTGCCCGGTCCCATGAAAATTACTTGAAATCTTTCACAGAGCTCGGGATATATTTTTCCTTGTGTGGCTAGACGTAAAGGAGGGCAAGGCTCTTGTACCGTTAGTACAAGATGGAAATCTTAGCAGACTGTCCTTTCAACATCCCTGATTACAAGATGCATCTACCAAGCTACTTTCTTTCACATATCAGTGGAAGATACTTGTGTCCTGTCTTTCTGTGTAACTAAAATTATGCCTGTGTGTGTGTGTGTGTGTGTGTACGTGTACACACACACATCTTGATTAGTAGAGAAATAAGTGTGTCTACTTATCAACACATAAATAGCACAATATATTAAGATAATCTTTCTATTTATTCTAATGATCTTCACTTTAATATACTATGAAGATGCAGTTTTTGTCATGTTTTTCTTTTTTTACTAATAGTTTCTGTATTATAACAGGCTTTTCTAGAAATGGCCTACACTGAGGCAGCTCAGGCTATGGTGCAGTACTACAAAGAAAAACCTGCAATGATAAACGATGACAAATTGCTCATTAGAATGTCTAAAAGATACAGAGAACTTCAGTTGAAGGTAAATAAATTAGTTATCCTGTCTTTCTGTGAATTTTGGTGTTAGTTGTTCAACTGCTTTCATTGCTAGTATGTTGTTTTCAGATAAGCTTTCATAAAAAATTTTCTACAGTTTTCCCCTTCACCACGTCATTGTTTATATACCTGTGGTATCATTTATTGGACAAGCCTGCCTTTTCTGCTTAGACTGAGTATAAGACTAAAGTATTGGACAAATAAGTAAAGGTAAAGGTACCCCTGCCTGTATGGGCCAGTCTTGACAGACTCTAGGGTTGTGTGCTCATCTCACTCTAGAGGCCGGGAGCCAGCGCTGTCCGCAGACACTTCCGGGTCACGTGGCCAGCGTGACGAAGCTGCTCTGGCGAGCCAACGCAGCACACGGAAACGCCGTTTACCTTCCCGCTAGTAAGCGGTCCCTATTTATCTACTTGCACCCGGGGGTGCTTTCGAACTGCTAGGTTGGCAGGCGCTGGGACTGAGCAACGGGAGCGCACCCCGTCGCGGGGATTAGAACCGCCGTCCATGCGATCGGCAAGTCCTAGGCGCTGAGGTTTTATCCACAGCGCCACCCGCGTCCCATATTGGACAAATAAGACCCCTGATTTCTCCCATAGACCCCATATGCACTGTCTGTACATTTAAAGAGCTATCATAGTATTTTAAACAGTCATGGTTCCCTGCAAAGAATCCTTGGGAACAGTAGATTGTTAAGAGTGCTGAGAGTTGTTAGAAGACCCCTATTCCCCTCACATACCCTGTGTTCCCTGGGAATTGGGATTGATAGTTAACCACTCTTGGTAATAAACTCCTGTGTAGAGAAGATTTCAGCAAAACTTTATCTATGGGGCTTTTCTGTAAACAATACATCAATGGAAATGTGTAGCTTGTGCCATTGCTGATGAGTTGTGTGACATGTTTGTAGTTTTTATTAAAAAGGCATTTTTGTAGCCAGTGTTAGTCAGTGGGCTCTCATAAGTATGTCGTCCGCATGTGCTCAGTATGAACCTGCTGTGAAAGGAGTGTGGGCTGAATGGAATGTTGGGTGGGTAAGAATAAATGCCAAGTGAAGATGATCAGTTTGGTACTTGTAATGTGGAATGGTAGCTTCAGCTGCATGGCTGCTTCAGTTCTGAAGGCTCCATGTGTCTGTTCCAGCGAACAGACAAATCTGGGACTTCTTCTATTGTGTGTTCTGGAACCTCTGTAGTGTGGTGGTGCCGACAGAGGCGGAGGTCGGCACAGCACTCAGGTCAACAGCTTGGGGTGGGTGCTCCCCCTAAAAAAAAGGTCAACAAGTTCTGGCCCCTCTTTCTATAGAAAAAAGCCCTGTCCAGAACTAACCACAGGATGAGATACTATACCATATAATTATTGTCTAAATAATGTGTCTATTAGGGCTCTTAATAGCTGTAATTTCTCAGCAGTTTGAGTGGAAATGTAAAGCCACTAGCCAGCAATGGATGCTATAGTGGGGCAGCAGACTTGCTTGACCTGCAACCATATCACTCCTGCTTACCAGGAGGGGCAAGGTTGGTGTACTGCAAATGCACTGTGCCCTTTTTGCTCCTTCTCCTCTGCCTCCTGGTCTGCAGCAGCAACATGACTGATGCAATGTCAGGTATTATGCTGCTGCCTTCACCACCATCTTGTACTGTCCTTAGCAACTTCTTTAACCAAATGGTTTCTTGCCAATTGAATAATTGTTTTTAGTTGATTAGTTTTCTCTTATTCAACAGTAAGAAACTAAGTCATAGCATTCTGCAAAGTAAGCATAATAAAATAATTGAAAATATTCATACCAGTGCTTCTCTTTAAATAGCTTGAAGTGTGAAGCTTATTTACAATTATTAATCTGTATGTTTATATTTGGCTTAGAAACCAGGTAAGAATGTGGCAGCAATAATCCAAGACATCCATTCGCAGAGGGAGCGGGACATGTTGCGGGAGACAGACAGGTATTACACAGTGTTAACAGTTGATGGCAGAAAGACGCTGAGATTGCTTTATAGAACAGAGATGCTTTTGGATAATACAAAAATAGGCAGACAGGAGACATTTCTGCAAGTCTAAAGCTAGGAACAACAGCTTTTACTTTTTTGATTTGAAATGTGTTTTTTGAAAAGTTAAGAGACTTAAAAATTGTTTGCTATACAGCGATACCTCGGGTTACGAACTTAATTCATTCTGGAGGTCTGTTCTTAACCTGAAACCGTTCTTAACCTGAGGAGTGCTTTCACTAATGGGGCGTCCTGCTGCCGCTGCATCACTGGCGTGTGATTTCCATTCTTATCCTGGGGCAAAGTTCGCAATCCGAGGTACTACTTCTGGGTTAGCTGAGTTTGTTACTTGAAGCGTTTGTAACCCGAGGTACCACTGTGTTAAGAAAATGCATGCTGAAATACTGACATTCTCAGTAAAATCTGCTGAGCACAAACTACAACGTGTTTCTGAAATTTTCAAGAAGAAAATGCCAAATGCACAGACACTGTGAAATACCAGTTTTAAACAAAATATTAATCCACTTTCTATTATTTCCTGTTTATTGTTGTCTATAGTTAAGACAAAAAACTAGTAGATGAACTCATAAATTATCTTTTTACTTGTAGTTAAGGTACTTGTAGTTAAGGTATTTTAGTCATTCTCTAGAGCTAATATAGGTAGATGGTTGGATATGCATTCAGTTCAAA